CTCAAACGCACTTTCCGGACTATCTGTTGAATATTGCGATCATGGTCACAAGGCAATCAGCGCAGCTTCTATTTCAACACTACGTTAAAAAATTTAAACGCTCATATCACATGAAAATCACATTGACAAAACATTGTGTCATTAGGGGGGAAAGGCTGATCTCTAAATACTGTGTAAATTCCCAAGAATGCGTTGATGACATAGTATTGAGCAAATTCGGTTGTATCATTTGGAGAAAGAAACGTGAAATAAATTTGCATTGAATCTGTTTCGCACAGTAAGTTTCTTGCTCATTAATAAGTCAGAATGAGAAAAATAATCTTGCCTTTGCAGGAGAAAGTGTTCAAGTCTGTAGAAACTTTCGTCAGAACTCTGTTGCTCTTCAGATTCAGTTCTCTTACGGAATGTTGTTCATGCTACAATCATTTGACATGGTTAGGGCTGATTAAAAATTCCAAAGATATAGTATGCATATGACTGGAAAAACAATTAGAAGCAGCAAGAATTGAACAAATGTAGAGAATCATTGATTGAGGATGCCAAACGCGTTTTATCAGACTTACTCGATAAATCAAAATAGAATTTGTGCAAAATAGCCAAGAAATCATTAGTTTCTGATTCGTGATTATAATCAAACATCCAACAATGAAGAACATTATATACGATCTATGGTAACCTATAGTTTGAAGAATTAGTACGTCAAAAGAAGGTCAAGTTAGGAGCATTCCATGTTTAGTCGACTGGCCAAAGTGACAGTTTTCACACGCGACTCAGATTTGGTCTTATAGGGTTCCAACTGTCTAGCAAAGAAACTAGAGACATAACTCGATGAAGCGTGTTGATCATGAATAGAACCCAAACGTCAAATCATCTAAAGTAGGCAGAGACATCTGTATAGCGTCCCTATATGCGAGAAACCATGCAGCAGCTAAACAGCAATACATGCAAATCACCAGTTGCTGTTTCAAAGTATCCCTCAAGATCCACATATCAAATTGCTCCATTAATTACAGGAAAAATCATGACAAACAGTTTATGGCTTACTAGATAAGCGACCATATAAAACAAATATCTTTTCTTCTAGTCGAAGAACAGTCCTCAGGAAGCGACTCCATGTTGAATTTGCCCCAAACGGCCATTACTGAACCGAATTTGGACCGAACAAGGATTTACCGTGATTTACTTCACGCATTTCATGATAATCATAGCCAGAAATGTCTGTACGGCCATAATAACCTTCCATTAACATTAATCACGAATGTTTAGTCCGGAAGTTCGATGTCATGCCAACTAATTGTAGCAGCAACACTTTGACGTTTTACAACTGACTCAGAAATCATTAGGATTTTACTTAATCTCCTCTAGCTATGTCCTAAAGATATCTACTCCGTTGTCGGGCAAAACTACTTAAGCAAGAAATGAAGAAACACGCCTAAGTTTAATATACATTTATAAATATTGATCTCCATCGAATATTCTGATATGGAAATTTTACAGGACAATGCGACGATTTTACTGCTGAGAGTATCACAAAAATTTCTAGAAGTATAATTAATAAACATTTTCAGCCTGAAGAGGGTGTAAATGAACGTGATTCATTTATACACAAATAGACAATCTGATCAATCAGATATCGCTCTCAACACTCTCATCAACGCTTATCTGACCGGCATTTTGCATGAAAGTGGACTGGATTCAGAAACCATTTTAGTTAATCGCAGGTGCTCTAACGTAGTGAGACAAAAGGCCTTCTGGTGCAAGCTGTTTCCAGAATATGTGCCAACGCACCAGCAAAATGATTAACCGAAAACATAACCTCGATGTTCTCGGCGGAGAGAGTACATATGCGCATCAGTGCACAGTCCCGTTGCTTCTAGAGGCATAGGGTGAACTATTTAATATCAATGCTGTGGTACTACAAGGTGTGACATTTCCATCTGTCTGATGATACCACAGTATCGGTGTTAAGTAAGAAACGTATTATTCTTTCTTTATACGGTATTTTTTTGCACCTTAATCATAAAGTTTAACATTATGTATCGACGACGGTATCGAAAGACCCTCTCACTGAGTCTACCATAGAACGTCGGAGTTATGCTTTTGATTTGTTTTCGTCTACAGATTGTAGCGTTTGAGTTTAAACATTCCTTTGTTCAGCCAAATAAGAGACGCAGGCTTGCGTCCCATGCACTGCAGGAGCTTAAATACCATACAACCGTATCCTGCTTAATGGTCTTAATAGCCGTCTAGAAGCAAGGAGCGGCACAATGATGTGATACTACTAGGGGTAAAATTTCAACTTGTCTTACACAACCGCAATATCGGTGTAAGGTAAGAATGAAGCTTCTTCTTTACACTGTGTTCTCCCAGATAAACCCTGTGATCATAAATTTTATTACAAAATACTCAACCGCCGTTTCAATCCGTATCATTATTCTTAATGTGATATCTTTCGAAAAGTTCCCAATAGCATCGGGATTATATCTTGTCGTTCAGTCGCCTACGGATCGTGGCAATCTTCTTTGAATATACTTATAGTAACCAGTAGTTTTAGGTGTGGTCTTACGTCCTATGCACTGCAAGCGCTTAAATGCCACGGAGCCGTTGCCTGCTTAAATGGTCCGCAGGAGTCTAGAAGCAAAGGGACGGTGCAAAAGAGCCTCTAGCGTAAAGTGAAAAATCGATTTTTTTTCACTGTGCATTCGCCGTTTCAATTCTGTACCCTTATTTTAATATAAATTTTTTTCTTTCTTTACACTGCATTTTGCGGTTTCAGTCCGATATCATTATTCTTAATGTGACGCAAATCGCTGAACTTTTGAATATTTCTTGAATACCTTGGTAGCAATGTTTTGACTACGGAGATACCGCAAAAATCTATTTGTATAGTA